TATATATATATATATATATATGAAAGTTCAGGTGTTAGATATGCAAATGCATAAGAATTGTGTGCTACGTATGTAAATTTTTCAAAATATGCTTAAAAAGTACAACAAACAAACATGTCCTTAATAATAAAATAAAAAAAAAAAATCCCAAACCTAGTTTATCATTTAGGTGTTTTGAATGTTTTTAAAATTAACTAAATATGTTTCATTGCAAATCAAGAAAAATAAAATAAAATAAAAAAGAAAAATATAAAAATAAAATAAAGGAGATCCCATTGGTCCCTTATATCACTAGTAATTGATAAGTGTTAGCCGAGAAATCCTCAGAAAAGACTACCAAGTATAGCAAGTCTGTGTTAGGATGCAGGGAAATTGAGTGAAAGGAAATGAAAAAAAAAATCAACCAACAAATTATTTTGATTTCATTTCTTTTCTTTCATTTTTTTTTTCTTAATCCATACAGAGACTGAGTAAGCTCAGCTGTCATGCTTAAAACATACCTGGGGAATGACAATGGATACGTTCAAGACACCAATGCACAGTCCTGCAAAATCCATATTTTCATTCAGTATTAGAAGTCTCATATAAGTGCACAACAGGACAAATATAGGTAAACAAAGGTTTTGTTCTTGATGCATCCTATTATGTACATTACATTCTATTTTTATTCTCTATTTAGAAGATAATATTTAAGTGTGTTTCTGAAAATTTATTTTCAGTAAGAAAGGAATAGTATCATTCTAAATAAAAAGATAGCTTACAAAAAGACAATTCTTAAAGTTTTCAGTCAAATTTTGTTCAATAAGCTTTAGCTAAGTTCTTTCTCAAGTAGAAAAGGGAAATGGGGATTAAATCAAACTAACCATGTTTGTGGCCTCCCTCGTCTGCAGCAAGCTGTGAGGCGCAAGCAAAAGGAATGCTATAAAGAATCTGCAATTACAAAATTTGCCATGAGAAAAAGTGTTAAGCAATGGAGGGTAAAAATGTAAAATGGAGGGGGATCAGAGAATTTGACTAACAGCTAAAGGAAATCCAAGGGCAGTAAAGATAGCTAAAGCTCCAAGTTTGACTCCATCGGGTCCTGCGACTGCAGAATTGATTTTTCCACTGTACGCATTTGTTGAAATAACACTAAGAACTGTTATGGCAGCCATGCCAAGGAACAGAATAAAGTTGCCGGTGATCCACACAACTTTTGAGGTAAATTTCCGGCACAGTGGACCAAGTACCATTGAGGTAATCGCAAGAACAAGCTAGTCATAGGGGACAAATGTCTCAATTCATGGAATGGAGAAAGGGAACCAATTTAGTTTAAGCAAAAGTGGGGGTTTGCTTTACCGAATTCAGCAGTAAGCCAAATGCACCCTCTTCGACACCTTTGTTATATGTATCAATTTCTTGCTTTGTCCCACTGGGATCACCATGATATATTTCACGACCCATCCAGTCTGTGTCGTAAAGGATGAATGGAAACCAGGCAAGCTGCATAGAGATCATCCAAATCAATAAGAATTGTGAGTAAAAAAGGAGGGCATTTACATAGATACCAAGCAATTTCTATGAATTTAGATATATAAAACCTAAACATCACTTCTTTTCACGCATTGGTAGGGCGTCATGTATGTAAAAATTGAAGTTTAGGCGTTAGATATGTAAATACATTTGAATTGAGTGGTATATATTTAAATCTCCAAAATAAAAGGTGATCTTTTGTGATCCAAATGCTCAATAAGTTACCCAGGTAAGAGCTGTCACAATAAGCACTGAGGGCATTCCAGCAGGTAAGCTTTTAAACGTTTTGAAAATAGAAAATATTGCAGAACCACCCTGTGCTGCCTCAGATGGTTCCAACTCACATAGTGGAACTTCTTTCGCAGCGAACAAGGTCACTGTTAAGCAAATGAGAAGGAAAACCTGAAAGAACAAGAAATTAGCTCCAATCAGCTACCGTAAAAGCTTTTGAATAATGGCCGTCTAGTATTGTAAAACATGGATCTGAAACCAACAAAATCATCGCTAATTTTGACCAGTTAGACATCTGTGTCAATTCTAAGAATGTATGACGAATAATGATAATATATGTAGAAAAAAACTTACAATTGCGACCAAAAAGGCAGCCTTCAAGTTTGCGCAGGTGGCACAACAAGAGTTTGTCAATAAAAAAGGAAACCACCTATGAGAATGAGGATCATGTTAGCTAAAAGATTTCAACTTTAAACTGCCTTTAAGCAAATTAAGTACTCCATAGAGCTCATTCCATCATACTTGTGCCAGCTTCCAGTAGACCCAGAAGAGTAGCCTAAGATATTTCCAAAAGCCATCCAAAAGGCATAGATTAGATTTGCAGCATTGCATCCATGTTTTCCTATGATGCAAGAATGCATTTCAATCAGTAATATCACCAATGCTGCTTGAGGATAGAAATTTACCTGGCAGAAGTACCTCAATAAAAACAAAACTAACCTAATTACAATCGAAACAGAGACATGTAAGCATAGAACTTACCAGAAAGATCAGCCATCATTGCCCGAGCAGGACCCTGAAATCAGTTTACAAAATGTCAGGGTTATGAACTCGGTTTGAATTTCATGCATTTAATGTCTTTTAATGGTGCATTATATGCTTAGTTTGCGCATTCAGGAATATTGCGGATAATTAAAACAAAAGTACTTCGAGTTTTCAAATAAGAACACAAGCGAGAAAACTAACCTGGACTGCATTGTTTGAAAAATCCAGCACCCAAAAACCAACCACATAGATAATAGCTGCTTTCCATCGAGGACCCACATAAGTGCTGGACGCAATTGCAATCATCAGGGCTTCAGATTCAAAATTGTAGAAACATAGCCTTGTCACCAACTTTAAGAAACAATAATAATAATAATAAACCTGCAGTTTTCCTTTGTATCACCAAGAGCAGATCCAATGTCTGATGAGAACCCAATCAGAAGGACCTAAATACGAGGATCACAATCTAATATTTGATATTAGGAAACAAGAGAATTCAATAAAAGAAGTGGGGATGCAAAACTTACACAACAGCATATAAGAAGACATCCAGATAGAATAAAAGGCCTCCTCCTGCCAAATTTTGATCGGCATTTATCACTCCAATAACCAATCGAAGGTCCAACCTAAAAAAATTGAAGAAAATTTATGTGAATGAATGAATCTGATCAATTGAATCACCTTGAATACCTAAAGATTGAAAATCTCATGGAGTTGGAACCCTTACAACAAATCCAGCCACCGGACCACAGAGCCACATGATGGAAGCCAATGCATGTGGAAGCCCAAGCGTCTACCACAAGAAAAACAACAAAAGAAAAAGTTACTAAGGTTTTTTTATTTTTATTTTATTATTATTATTATTATTATTATTTTTTATGCTGGCAAAGTTTTATTTTTATTTTATTATTATTATTATTATTATTTATGCTGGCAAAACAGGTGCTCTAACTCTACCCACAAAGATTCTTCACTTTATTTCCAACCAATATACTATAAATTCAAGCACAATGTTACAGAACTAAAATACCTTGAATTCAAGTATGAATAACAACAAACTTATATTGTTTTCCATTAATTTCCTTCCCTGATAATCAAATCAAAATTCAATTTAGGAATTAACACTAGAACCATAATCAATTGGAGACTTTTTAGTTCAATAGCATATAATATTTGTGTCAAGTTATTATATATTACCAAATAAAGTAAAAAGACTAAGAAAATAACATATAGATTACAAAAAAAATTCAAGATGAAAAAAAAGGGCAAAAGTGAAGAAAATTACTAATTTTTAAAATAAATAAATAAATAAATGGAGCACTTAAGGATTAGTACCAAGTCTCTTGATGAGTAAAACCCCAGTGAAAATTTCATTAGAATCATCCCTAAAGATGCTTTAACACTAATTAGTGTCTAAAGACAAAATAAATAGCCAAAACATTAAAATCCATAACATGGGGCCTCAACCCCCACACCCCTGGCAAACTCAATGGTATATAGGCCCACTACCACCACAAGCTTCCAAAAAAAATTAATAACAAAGAACTCATATTTGTTCTTTCACTAAAATTGTCACACCATAAGCTTCATGGTAAGGCTAAATTGAATTTGGGTCAGCATATTTAACAATCTTCATCTTGATGTGAATTCTACATCAAGGAATAAAGCTTTGATGAGCTCTCTCCTCTTTTCTACAACAACTACTCATAAGGGCAAAACTCAACAAAATATCAATCAAGTCTAAACAATCATCAAATTTGAACATAGAGAGTGCCTGAGTCATATAATAACAAGATTATCACGAGTACTCATCTTACTCACAATATTACCAAGAGTGATAATTTCACAAATAAAATAATAAAAGACATAAATGTGTTTATTTCTTTCAAAAAATCATTGATATTTAGTGAACAACTAGTAATCTGACTATCAAAAATCACTATGATAACCTCAAGTCTTCATGTAGCTCTCCAAACAAATATTTGAACCAAATAATTTATTTACATAAGCTTCGAATATTGGCACATACTGAACTTCAGTTGTATACAGTGTCATCATAATCTGTAAAATAGCCCTTAATAAACCTTTGATGAGCTATCTCGTCTCTCCTACAACAACTTCTCATAAGGGCAAAACTAAACCATGGATATCAATCAAGTCCAAACAATCCTCAAATTTGAATATAGAGAGTGCCTGAGTGATTATATTAACAAGATTATCACGAGTACTTATCTTGCTCAAAACATTACCATGAGTGATAACTTCACAAATAAAAAATAATGAACATAAATGAATTTATTTCTTTCATAAAATCTTTGATATTTAGTGAACAAATAGTAATCTAACTATCACAAATCACTATGATAACCTTCAGTCTTCATGAAGCTCTCCAAACAAACATTTGAACCGAATAATTTCTTTACTTAAGCTTCGGATATTGGCATGTACTGAACTTTAGCTATATTCAATGCCATCATAATCTGTAAAATAGCCCTTTTAGTTAAGAGCACAACAACCAATAACAAATACATAGCTTGTAAGTGATCTTTTCAAAAAAAATATCTTCAGTAATGTCCAAATTAACATAGTTGATAACTATATTTATAATCTTCTTAAAACATAAACAAATATTTGTAGTTCCATGCAAGAACCTGAGAATTTACTAGACCTTTATCTATTACTCATTACTAGGAATAATTAAGTGCCTATCTATCTTTCCAATGTTTCATCTAAAATTCAATATTGATTTACAATTTAACTTCTTAATTCTCCCTTATTTTTGGCAATTATCAACATATCAATAAAATATAAGATTATGTTGACAAAATCATCCATCGCTATTCCTCTTGAAGTAGACACAATTGTCATAACTACTTTTCTTAAACACATGAATGATCATAGATGAGTCAAAATTTTTATAATGTCATCTAAAAATTATATCAAATTGTAAAGAGACTTCTTTAACAAACAAGTAATCTTTTTAATTTGTAATCACGAAGCACTTTTTAATTTGTAATCATGAAGCATTGCTACATATAAATAATTTCCTTGAGCTCTTTAAATAAAAAATATAATCTTTCCACGTAATTTCTCAAGCTCAAGATCACTGTTAGTCCCAATATGAAATAAAGCTTAAATTGAGCCATGCTAACCCTTAGAAAGAACATATTTGTAAAATCTATACTTAGATGTTGACCGAATCTCTTTGTAACTAATTTAAGCTTCTATCTTACACCTTGATTCCCGGTGTACCTTTATTTCTCTTAAACACCTATTTGTCACAGACAATTTTCTTCCCTCGAATTAGCATATAAATAAATTCCAAAAGCTATTCTTGTGTGGGCATTTTTTTCTTTTCTTGCATAGTTATCTTTCACTAATAAGAATCAACTAAATTAATTATTTATATAGCTAGAAAGTTCTTTACCAAACTTTGGACCAGTATTCTTGTGCGAGAATTTATCTCATCATCATCAACATCAACAACACTAAGCCTTTATCCCACTAAGTGGGGTCAGATACATGAATCCTTCTTCTCCATTGTGTTCTGTTGAGCATCATATTTTCATTTAATTCTAATAAATTAAGATCATTTTTTATACAATATGCCCAAGACTTTTTAGGTCAATCTCTACCTTTCTTAACACAAGTCGAATCTAAAACATTTATTATTCAAATTGTATCATCAGATGGTCAACATTTAATGTAGTCCAAACATTTAAGATGACTCCTCTAATCTTGTATGGCAGTGGAGCTACATCAACCCTTTGACGGATACATTCATTTCGCATTTTGTCTCTAAGTGTCGAGTTACTCATCCACCTAAGTATTCTCATCTCAGCAACACTTAACTTAGTTTTATGCTTCTTTTTTAAAGGACAACATTCCGTAACATAAAGTATTGCAAATTTCATCACCATCTTATAGAATTTTTTTAAGCCTAAGCCATACTTTTCTATTACACAATAGGTCTGATGCATTCCTCCACTTCAACCAACCAACTTGAATTCTACCAATAACATCCCCATCTATATCACCATCACTTTAAATAACAAACCCAATATATCTAAAACATTCAAACTTTTCTAAAACATTCAAACTAAAACATTCAAACTTTTTAATGATTTGATCACTCATAGTAACAACTCTGCCACTAGATCTACTACTACTAAAATTACATTCCATGTTTTCAATTGGCCTTTAGATTCTAATGTAAATCTCCATAATTCAAGTTTTTCTTAAACTTTTTCTCTAGTTGTATCCACAAGAAGGATATCATTAACGAAAAGCATGCAACAAGGTACGTCCTCCTATAAATATCCCGTAAGAGTATCCAAAATTAAAGCGAAAAAGATATGAGCTTAAAGTTATCCCTGATGTAATCCAGCTGAAATAGGAAAATACTTAGTCAATCCTTTTTTTGTTCAAACACAAGTAACACCTCTAGCATACATATTTTTAATGACTTGAACATAAGTCATATCAACACCTTTCTTTCTAGAATTTTCCAAAGAACTTATCTTTGAAATTTTTCGTAAGCTTTATTTAAATCAATAAAAATTATATGTAGATCCTCATTACTCTTTTTGTACTTCACCATAAAACCTTTCAATAATTGTATAGCCTCCATGATAGACTTGTCCAGCATAAATCCAAATTGATTATGAGAAATCCTTGTATCACGTCTTAACCAATAATTAATTACTCTCTCCAATAACTTTAATTAATGACAAATTAACTTAATCCTCTATAATTTGCACTCTTGTGTGTCCCCTTTATTCTTAAAAATGACGACCAAAATACTCTTCCTCCACTCAGACATATTTTTAGTTGTAAAATAATATCAGAATGTTTAGTCCATCGAAAAACTCTCAAATCTCTTAAATATTTTCACACATCTATTTGGATACCATCAGGTCTTACTGATTTTCCACCCTTCATTTTCTTTAAAGTCTTTTCAACTTACTTTTTACTAATGCAATGACAAAAATAAAAAGTTTTAGTATTGTTAAGAATATTAACACCACTAAGATCGATCGTATTTTCAAAAACTTCATTGAAAATTTTATCAAAATATCTCACACCTATGTTGAATATCTTACTCTAAGAATTAAAAGTACTTTTCTATTCTCATTTTTAATATATTTTACTTGAATTAAATTTTAATTTTTCTTTTCCCTTTATTTGGCTAATTTATCAATACATTTTTCACCATTTTTAGTATCTAATATATAATAAAGATTGCTAAAAACAGAATTCCTAACATCACAAATTGTTTTTTTAGACTTCATACGAGTGATCTTATATGTTTCCTAAGTTTTTACATTTAAAACACTTTTATAACAAAACTTTTAATATTTTATTTTTTCTTGCACATTATTATTTCACCATTAACTATATTTATTCATAATTTTTTTATTCTTTAAGTTTATTTTTTACTTTATCCCACGTAGAATTAGATTCCTTATAAATATCCCAAATCTTGAAATCTTGAAATTTACTCATAAAAATATTTGTATATGTGTCTTTTAAATATCTCCATCTAATTTTATAACAATGTTTTATTGTATTTTTTTTCCTTCTAACTCTCATCATAAAATTCAGAACTAATAATCGATGTTGAGTACTTAATTTTTTGCTGGAAAGACCTTATAATCTTTATATTTTTGGCGATAAATTTTTCTCACAACAAAATAATCAATTTATGTTCTATTAGATTCATTCTTATAAATGATAATATGTTCATCTCTATTCTTAAATAAATTATCAGCGATAACAAAATCATAAGCTAAA